TTCCGCCCCAAGTGGCCCCCAAACAACCCCACCAGCCGCTCTGGGGCCACGGCTGGGTGGGAAAGCTTATGGAAACCCGTCAGCAATTAGCTCTCATCATGCCCCAGGTCAAATCCAGCCCTTTAGAAGTAAAATCTCCTTCCCTGTCCTCCTCCCTTGTCCCAGCCATCTAGCAGAGAGGAGCGACAGCCACGAAAACATCGGTTCTTCTGCTGCTGGCACAACATTCAGAGCGCCTCAAAGCCCCTGCGAAGGCAAGACATGCTCAGACCTCTGGAGCAGGGAGGGATTCACAGAGTTCTGCATTTTCTTTCCAACTGATTTAACCAAGTCGGTAGTCAACAATTCGGCCCGTGCAATCTCTCTCCTTCCTCTTCTCAAGAAACAGGCATTTCCCAGAAGAGGTGAGAAAGCACCAGCCATTAAGTCCTCACAACTTAAGGCAAAAAAGAAAAGACATTTGCAGCAGTTTCTTGACCTGAGTGCCCCTTTTTGATAGGAAGTGCAGAGAAGTGGTTCCCAGCTGTCCCCATCAGCCAGGACGGGTGGCGGCAGGGCTTGGAGAAGCTCTGGGTGCCCACAGCTCCCAGCAAAGAGCTGCCTACGCACCGCGGGTCCGCCTGGGGAACCTGCACGGTGGAAGAGCTCAGCTGTCAGTCAGCAGAAAGAAGAGCTCAAGGCAGAGCCAGAACTACGGCTGCCAGGCTCAGCCCAGCCCCAAAAATCACCTTGGCCAGCCGTCAGTGCAGCGGTGTGTGCCCGCCTGGCAGCACGGGGCTGCAGAAACTCTGAGGAAAGATTATTTAGTGCCCAGAGGAAAACAAGCGATAGCTCTGGTTATTTCTTTTGGAGATCTTATTGTTTTCTTTATGTCTTGGGCAGGGCTGCGACGTGTTTGCGAATGGAAATTTTGTTCCGTCACAGAAACGTGGCTGGATGCACGGCTGCTCCGCCAGGGAGCCACCAGCTGCCCCTCAAGTTGTTTGGTTTTTTTTTGCTGTCTCCAGGGGTCTGAAGGACACTGCTTAGCGGCAGGAATCCTTCCCACCCGTCGGGGGTGATGACAGAGAGGAGTTGCTGATGCTGTCAGAGCTCAAGGGGCAAGGATGGCACGTCAAACCGGCTCTGCAACCTCCCGACTGCCTTCCCAGCACCGGCCATCTCCCGAAAGGAGGGGCCGTTCGCTTCTGCGAGTCTCGGAGCAGGCGACAGACCTAAGAACTGACATCTTTTTCTATCCTTTCTCTAAGGCCAACAAAGAGCAGCTTCACTTCTTTGGTTACGAGGTGGCGTGCACATGCGATCCCTGCTCTGCCGCGCTTCCTGCGTGTCACCAAACCGATCGCCTCCTTCGCCTTCGTTCCACAGCTGAACTTTCCCAAAATATTTGCCATTCCAGCCTACCAAATCGCAGCCCTCTGCTGGGACTGCAACCACTAGCAAGCATCCCTTCGCGAAATACAAACTAAAGCTATAAAATATGAAAAACACGACTGCTTACAGTAAAAAGCAGCCTGGGGTTTGCTGTCTGACACAAGCCACGTTAGAAGCACTGCTGGAAACATATTCCACGTTTGGTTGCCTGTTTCACCAGCCTTTCCTAGATCCAAACCCATGGACCACCCTAAGTTTCGACTAGGTCATCTCAAGACACCAGAAACATTCCCTACAGACCTGTGTCAAAATACGTACAGCCCAAAGCAAGATGCTTTTTTCAACCTACTTTTTTTTTTTAAACCAGAGTCAGGTTAAGAAAAACACAAGCCCAGCAGCCTCTTAACAGCATTGTGTCTTTCCAAGGTTAACTCCAACGAAGGGGATCATTCTTTGTTCCCCAGGAACATGCCCAAAGCAGAGCAGGACAGGATTTGGGATTAGCTACCTGGCAAACGAGTCGCCCGGTTCTTGTTCTCAGTTGAGAACTGCCTCGCTCTCGCTGCCAGAAAGCACATAATTTCTTTACCTGCTAATATTCTTTGCCACTAATCCTCAGCGCGTCTGTCCAGACAAGTAGGCATTACACATTCCATTGGCAGGAGGAGAATAAATACTCAACTTGTCTGGGCTGACCCACAGCAGCGAAGGGAAGCCGGCATTTCACAACGCCGGCGAGAAATGCCCGCGCTGCGAGATACTGAGAAGAGCAGGGCCCGACCCCGTTCAGCACGTCAGCAAATGCGGCTCCTTCGTGGTTTATCATCATGGAAAACCGGCCGAAACGTGCCCTTCGCAGCTCCCTGCGCTGGCATCTCAACAAACCAAAGAGCAGACCAACCTGCTCCTGGTCCGTCAAGGCAATTAGGTTGCAAAAGGTCAAGGTTTTTAATAACTCAGCCGTGTTTGGATGCTACTTATTACCGCTTCGTTCCAGTCAATTACTGGTCATGAGTAAAACACAAGCTCGCCCTCCCAGGAACTCCAAGAGGGATGTAGGCACCGCGGAAAGAAATTCAGTCCTTAAAACTAAACCTAAGACACACTGTCAGAGATCCTCCCTACAGGCCATCACTGAACCACATCCAGAGGAGAAACATGCCAAGAAAACCCAGAATTAGACTCTAACCTAATAAAATAGCAAAAAAACCCCAACAACCAACAACCTATTGACCCAAGAGCCTCCAGCAGCAGGCGATGACGGCGTGTGGACAGACTCAACAGCTCAGCCCGCGCCTACGTCCGGTGACCAGCCCCAGCAGGAGCAAGTGGAATGGTTTGCTGGCTCCGTCCTAACCGGCCCCAACGTCCTCGGGGAGGGCTCACCCACCTGAGGAGGAGAGCTGGAGTTCACGTTGTCTTTCGGGGGACTCAGGGAAGGCGCTTCTCCTTGAAAACCGCTACTGTTCTGTGGCTGACAGAGTTTCCTGAAAAACAAAATGTAGGGTCGTTCAAATGCGCCGCTTGATGAGCCAACAGGTGCCGTTTCCAACCTTCCTGCAGAGCTTTTTGTGGGCCCAAACGTTGACTTCTTGAAGATGCCGTGAAAGCAGCTCGTTCAGGCCCTTACAGTTCCAACCTCAGACAAAATCTAGGAAGAAGAAACTCCTACAGGAAAATACCAAGGAACAACATATGGTAAATTGCTTCTCTCCTTCTAGCATTCCCATGATTTTTGTAATTCTCTGTGAACGGAGGTAAAAACCTCGGACCGACTCTCCCGGTGGTGTGGCAGGGAGGGAGGAGGCAAGCTGAGCTATCAGAAGGCTGGAACTTATCTTCCAACAGTTTTACCTCTTTTCTCTTGAACTGGTGACGTAAATATTACAATAAATGAATCACAACCTTAGAAAAATAATCCCTATTCAGATTAGGAAAAACTAGCATTGACATTTTAAAGTGTACAGGATACCTATATCCTTGCTACTGACTGAAATGCGGCTCAATAAGCAAGGTTTTATTTAAACTAATTTCTGCTGAGTTTGCCTCAGTTAAAACTGACTTGGCGAGACAATTCAGAGAGCGAGCACACTGAGAAAGGGCCAAAACTCAAGTTCAGATGTTGAGCAAGAAGTTCTCCCGCTCATTAAAACAACATTTTACAGCAGTCCTCTTTCAGAAGCGAGTCCCTCCGGGTCCAGGAAAAGCAGGATTATAGCAGGCACTGCTACAGTATTATTGGCTCACTAAAATTTACATTTAGGGCTTCCTAATAACACTTTTAAATTGCAACGTGCAAAGTAGAGCAACTCTGGAGTATTTGACAAACAACAGAAACCTCTCGGAGGAGAAAAACAAAAAGAAAAAAGCACAATGTAAGTCATTCTAATCACGTAAGCGCGTTAATTCACATTCACACGGGTATCTCCGCTCCCCCCTGCCCGAGGGGCTCCCTAGATTTCAAAGTCACCAGCTTTGCCCTGCTCTCCTGCCACCAGCCAGACTGCCCACGTATTAATCATCCAGGAAAAACTACTGTTGCATCAAGTCGCAGCTGTCAAGCTGGGAAAAAAAAATAAATTATATATTTTGGGGGTTAAAGGTTTTAATAAACTAGCTCCACAGTTGCTTTGTCACCAGCTGTAACAGTCTAAAAAACCGACGTCTAAATTCTCCCCGCAAGAGGCTGGAATCGGCTTTACAGCACACACATTTTTCAAACACCGGGAAGATTATTCCAGAGATAGAGCTCAGGACTTTTACAAGGTTTTCTTTTAGCCTGAGGTTGAACCTTGGGCCATACTGCACATTCAGCCGCCTGCAGTTTCACCACCGTCCCGGCTTCCGCTGCTGCTTTGTTTAATTTTATTTAGAACAATCTCAACAGCCACGGAGCAAGTCAAGAAAAGTGCTCAGAGCCTGTGAAAACAGGAAGGGGAACAGCAATATTCCAGGGAAACGGCAGCGAAAGTGGCTTTTTGGATGCGGTTTGACAAGACTGAGCAACCTTGTCACATCTCCTAAGGTGTTAATTGTGGATTTTATATATATAAAAAAAAAAAGTGAATGGGAGACAAACTACTTTTCAATTCAGCAGCTCCTCTAACAGAGGAAAAGCATTTCACTACAGCGGCGGAACGAGGACGGAAGGCACAACGCAAAGAAAACAGAGTTGAGTCTAAGGGGAGCACTGTTAGATGCAGTTTCCATATTTGCAGACGAGCTAATTATTGCAGCCGTTGAACCATCGAGCGGCAACCGGACCTGAAAACCGAGAGGACGTTGAACAATTGGCTGGATCCAGGCAACCGCCGCAGCCCGCGACGCGGGGCCCTACGTCTGCTGCCTCTGCCCTTTTTGTCCGTGTTTTTCTCCTGTCTTCAATCCTACGTGTTTTTTCCATTTTGTAGCCTCATTACCTGCATTGGCTGAGCGGGTCTTTGTTTGTACAGTTGAATACATCCTTTCCAGGGTCTATTTTTAGACCTCCGCATAACCCAATGCCACAATTCTAGAAAAAGCAGTAAACATGGCTTTCCACGGGGAGAAATGAACTTGTTTTTTTTTTTTTGAAAGCCATAAAGGTTGCACGGTGCTTGTATTTTTCCATTTAATTACAATTCGACATCAAGGCCATTTAAACGAGTTTGATTTTACTTCGGCACGCCAAAGCACATTAAGCGCGAGCTCGTGTTGGTTTAACAAAGTCTCATCTCCAAGCCAACTGCGTTTTCAAATCATGGAAACTGTTCAAACAGAGCGTGCTCTGCTTCATCTTCACCAAAAGGGCAATAAAATAAGTCTCAAAAACAAGTCAAGTGAAAGCTCTGCCTGCACCCCAAGATCAGTCCAAACACACCGAAAACCCAGAGAGGAAAATATAAACACGTAGAGCAGAATT